CCTGAGAGGCAGGGTATCAAAGGGGTACTGAGGCTTGTTAGGTAGGGAGAGTGGGTCCTTAAGCTGAATGGAAGTAAGTGCAATGGTGAGGCCCTGCCTGGGGTAGACGTATCCTAGGTGTGTGTGGGAACCTGCTCCTTGACATAAGAGGGAGTGGATGGGAGTGGTTTTGCATGCTGGGTGGAATACCAGTGGGAGCAGACAGGGGAGAGTCAATTGCCCTGTGAGGCACTCCTATGAGGCAAATGGGAGAGAGGTCTGGATAGAGAATAATTCATGTTCCCAGTCTGTACATAATGTCTCTTCCAAGTAAGTGAGCCAGGTAAGCAGGGATGCCCAGAAGTGACTTGTGGACTATTTGATTTCCCAGCAGGCACAGAAGAGGCTGTGTGGTTAGGGGTTTGGAAAGAATGCCACAAACCCCCACTATAGAAACAGGACATGGAAGAAGGGGTCCAGGACACTCAAGTAGAACTGAACCTTTACTCCAGTGTGGGCTGGCTACCTGCGACTAAGCACAAAGCCACAGGACGCATGGCAAGTGCCTGAGCAGGCAGATGTGCCACTGTGTGCTGATTAAGCAGTACTGCAAGGTGCTAGGAAGTGAACTGTCCTCTTACCATGCGGATACTGCAGTTACTTCTCCAGTGCCCGACGTGGTCACATTTGGGGCAGATGGTTGGCTTAGGCAGCTGAGTACAGTCTCTTTCTCTATGTCGTATTTGACAACACTTGAAACAGGGCCTATTGGCAGGTGCCTATCCTTATTATGTCCTGAACTCCTAGAATGCAAGTCTCTGTGTCTTCTGTCCCCAGCTGTACTAAGGGCTAAAGCCAGAAGCTGGAAGGTGTGTCTCAAAATTTTGTTTCCTATCCTCCCTTTGTTCCTCCTCCCGGTTGTTAAAGACTTTGAAAGCCAGGTCTAAGAGTTCTGACTGGGGGTTTGGGGACCTTTTTCTGGCTTCCAGAGTTTTTGCTTAATGTCTGGGTCTGACTGGGAAATTAAATGCATAGTCAGAATGGACTGGTCTTCTGGAGAGCCAGAGTCTAAGTGAGTATAACACTGTATTGCCTTTGAAACACGTGCTGCGAAAACTGGGATTTTTATTGGGCTTCTGAACAGTGTATCAACAGAGAAGGAACCTCATTTGGACTCACTTTGTTCTCACAAATATCTCTGTGATGGAGAGATCCATCATGGAAAAGGGAACATGGACTTTAACAAGTCCCTCTGTCCCGCAACCTCCCTGAGAGGGAACCAGTGGGCTACAGCAGGGGCTTAGAAGGGCTTGCCAGAATAAGTATGAGTGGGTGAAGACTTGGGAGATGGCAGAGAATGGGGGAGGGAGATTGATCCTGCGAACAGTCCCTGAGGGACCAAAAGAGAGAGAAACTGCCCATGTCATCAGCCAGCGTCGCTGGCAGAGGATCCTGGAATCAGCCTGAGTGTGTGAGTAATGCATGAAAAGGGGCATCCCCTTTATCTCCTGGAGCCACGGGAGGCAGCACTTCCATAGTGCAGAATGCCCAGGCCCCAGCAAAAACTTTACACAGAGACAGAGCAAGCCTCTCAGGTTCCCTTTAAAGACCTCCTCGCAAGGAATTGGGTAGCACATGGAGAGAGGGACTGACTGGTCTTGAGAGCAGCCCTCGAGAAGACTGGAGAAAGAGCAGACAGTGGTGAGGTCATTTTTACACCGGCAGCGATAAGGCTGTTGTTACACAGGGGACAGTAGCTGCCTTGGGCTCGCTTGTAGACCTCATGCCTGGTGGTAGGGCAACACACGGATTCACCCATGATGACACTTTTGCGCTGGACAAGGCTGAAGTGTCGGGGAGGTCTGAGTGATATAGCTTCAGGAAGTGAAGGGATAGAGAGCAAGTAGCAAGGGGAAAGGCCGAGCAGCTCGCTTCTCATCCTGCTGGTGATGGAGGTCCAAGACCTTCCTTTGGGGACTTTCTTGCCTCTCAAGGGGTGACCGTGGCAAAAAGGCCATCAGTTGCCCTCCCATAGCTAGTCGGTCTCAAAAACTCAGACAGGTCGACTTGGAGAGGAGGTAGAGAGGAGATCTCAGTCTCCCATCATGATGGGCTGCGGCAGACTTCCACCTTCCCTTAAGACCTTCAGACTTGCCAGAGAGCAGCCCTGGCCAGAGTTCTCAGTTGTCACCAAGTCCTAGCAGAATCCATAGGGAGACACAGGTTGGAAAAGGGAGGGAAAGATTACAGAGGGGAAGACACTCAAATATTGGGGATACTCCCCACAGGACCACCAAATGTTAGGGTAAACTGAGGCAAAGTGGACTGGGCCACAGGAATAAAGCAAACATTTGCAAAGGTAAATCAAGAGAGTATTCTCACGTAGAATCTATCTAAATGAGACTGACACTAAGTGGCAGTGCAGCAAGGGAGTTGAGGGAGGAGGGCTTTCCAAGTTTTGTTAAAAGGGTAAAAAAAGTCTCTAGCAGCTGCATTCCTGAGTGCTGGTAACACTGGTCTCCTGTTTTTGGCGTTGTAAGGGCAACCAACCAGTCCTGGTACTCTGGGGCCTTCACCCCCTGGTGGGCTGATGGGCAGTCAGGAAAGGTGGATTGCTATTCGGTTGGCTTGGTCCTGTGTGGCTGGAAAACAAAGAATTGAGGCGTCATCAGTACAAGACATACTTGGGAGACGCAAAACAGTGTCAGCAACTACCTCCAGAAATCTGGTTGTGCCCTTGGCTGATGATTGGAAAGTGGGACAGACACCTAGCAACATGTGACAAAGCCTAAGCAAGTGGGCATGGCTGTTCTCTCGCGAAGTTGCTCTGTTTTGACTTCACCCTTTCAGAAAAAAAGTAGAGCAGTACAGTAATACAGACTATGCCGTGGAGCAGCCTGTCCCCTGGAAGCACCACGCAAGGGACGTCGTCTTACATTTCCAGCTCCCACATTGGAAAAGGTGAAAAGGGCTGGGCTCACTGGCTCAGCGTGTCATCCCAGCCCTTTGGGAGGCTGAGGCGAGTGGATGACCTGAGCCCGCGGGTTCGAGACCAGCCCGGGCAACTTGGCGAGACCGCATCTCTACAATAAATCAAAAATTAGCCAGGCGTGGTGACGCATGCCTGTAGTTCTGGCTACCTGGAAGGCTGAGGCGAAAGGGTCACTGGAACCCAGCAGGTCGAGGTTGCAGTGGCCCTATGTATGCAACTGCACTCCAGCCTGAGCGATGGAGTGAGACTCCGACCCAAAAAGAAAAAGAAAAAGATGAAAAATTCATCATTAATGTTAATCTTGGTTATGTTTTATTTAACTCATCCTATTAAAACCGTTTCCGCATGTAATCAATGCAAACAGTGATCAATGGGATATTTAACTTTTTTCTTTTTTCTTGAGTCAGGGTCACCCCAAGCTGGAGTGTAGTGGCACAGTCACAGCTCACTGCTGCCTCTAACTCCTGGACTCCAGCCTCAGCCTCTCCAGTAGCTGAGACTACAGGTGCACACCACCACACCTGGCTAATTTCTTAAACTTTTTATAGAGACAAGGTCTTGCTATGATGCCCAGGCTATTCTCAAAATCCTGGGCTCAAGCCATCCTCTCGCCTCCACCTCCCAAAGTGCTGGGATTAGAGGCGTGAGCCACCATACCCAGCCTACTTTATATTACTTTTCTCATACTAAGTCTTTGAAATCTGATATGAATTTTATACACACAGCCCATCTTAAACTGGGCCCTTAATTTTCATTGGAGATACCTGATCTGTACTTAAATCTCAAAATTTACCACTGGAAAAGAAAAGTCACCCTAGCTGTTCCATGCATACTTAAAAATTTAACAGTCACTGAGTTAATTGGCAGTTTTTAATTTTAAATTCATGAATTATTTTTAATTTAATAATTTTGGAAGTTTATTAATTATTATTTTCATGGTGAGTTGATGGAGGCTCAGTTAGCTTGAGTTCCCCACTTGCACTACTTTTATTTCCCATGCTCGGTTCTCTCATGTGGCTAGTGGCTTCCACTTTGGACAGCACAGGTGTAGACTGACTCAGGACAGAGACTCTTTGAGCCAGGTGGATAGAGCCCCTCCCCCACTCCTCCCACCTAGTCCATGCCACCCACATTTCCCCTGTTCTTCCGCATAGCTGTCTAGTGAGTCCCCACTTCAGTGCCTGCTTTCTCCCCCATAACACACAGTTTATTGCCATATGCCCACCCAAGAGATTTTTGTTAAATGTGAAGACTGATTATGTCACTTTCCTGCTCGGTCTCCTTCCTCTCCCCCATTGATATTTTGTTACCCTTGGGATCAAATCCAAACTGCTTGCTTTATGATCTGCCCCTCCTGCCCTCAGCTCCCACCCCCGCCTCACTCACTGCTTCAGTACCCTGGCCTCCTTGCTTCCCTCCAAACACCAAACCTGAGCCTGCCCCAGGGCCTTTGCACCTATTGTACCTCTGCCCAGAATGCTCTTCCCAAGTGACTCACACTCTCACCACATTGGGACTTCAACTCTCTCTTGCTTCCTCAGAGAGGCCTTCCCAGACCATGCTGTCACTCTTAGCCCCTGCCCCGGCCCTTTTATCCTTCATAGTGATGACCTTGGCTATCATTGTGCTTTATATGGACTTGTGTTCCCTTCTGGGATGTAAGGTGCATGTGAGCTGGCCCTTTTCTGCTCTAAATGACCGCTCTTTCCAGCATCTGACACCTAGAAAATGAAGTGCTCAATAAATACTTGTCAAATGGATGACCAGGTGTCTACATACTCCTTATTTGCCTCCTTACTGTGATCTTACAGGCAAATTGTTGGCCATGCCCTTCCCTGACCCTGAATGGGGACAGGAATGCTTCAGGTGTCCGACCTACCTCTGTGTGTGTGTGTGTGTGTGTGTGTGTGTGTGTGTGTGTGTGTGTGTGTGTGTGTATGTATGCATGTGTGTATCCATGTGAGAGGCCTGTGAACCCTGGGACCACCCAGAAGGCCCAGTCAGCCTTGTGACCTCTTTTCTCTCCCAGCCCCACCTTCCCAGCACTCTGCCTTTCTGAGTGTGGACCCTCAACGGAGAGGAAAGAATGCCTGCTGTACGAGGGAAGACCAAATCCAAGGTAAGTAGCAATTCTTCTTCCTTCAGGAACATCCATCTTGTCTCTCTCATGAGATGTGGACCATTTCCTTTCCTTCCATGGAGGCTTCCAGCCCATCAGAGACCCAACCAATACCTGGTCCCGGTCTTCCCCCACCACCGTGAAAAAAGGGGGTCCTAGAAGAGCCCAGCAGTCCTCTCTTCATCCCCTCAGTGCACGCATGGCTACTCACCTGTGCCTGTAGTATCTCCGGAACCCTGTGCATGCTGGGAGACGTGCCCTCCCCAGAGGGAAGATGTGCATGAGTGCCACTGTGATTTCTGAGGGTAGAGATGAGTGCCAGGGAGGAACCTCCTGCGGCAGGGAGGGATTCCACATGGGTTCCAGAGCTAGTCTCATCGGGTGACATCATTTCTCCTTATAAAACAAGCCCATGTATATGTAGAGGAAATCTCTAGCTAAGCTCCCATGGCTAAGAGGCACCACATGGCCCTTCTATTCCACTGAGTGCCTTGGCACCAGGTGGTGAGGTGGGACAGTGAGCATCCTGTGGTCAGCCTTGCTTTGCCAGTGTAGATGAACAAGTGTTAGCCAGCTGTATCCTCACCTGGGGCTCAGGGCCCCCTTCAAGCTCTCTGGTTATTGGCCAGATTCAGTTCCTTCTTGTGCTTTACACTTGGCCCTCTTCAAGCCAGCCACAGTCAATAACCAACCAAACCAAGCCAGGTCAAGTCCAGGATATCTCTTTTTTTTTTTTTTTTTTTAAAGTTGGAGTGCAATGGCACACTCACAGCTGCCGCAGCCTCAACCTGCTGGGCTTAGCCTTCCAAGTAGCTGGAACTACAGATGCATCCCACCACACCCAGCTAGTTTTTGTGATTTATTGTGGAGATAAGATCTCACCAAGTTGCCCAGGCTGGTCTCGAACCCCCAGGCTCAGGCAATCCTCTCACCTCAGCCTCCCAAAGTGCTAGGATTATAGGGCGGAGCCACTGCACCTGGCCCAGTCTCGTGATTTTTAAGGTCTCCCTATGATTTTATGATATATGATTTTATGGTCAACTGGTCAGAAACCTTGATGATGTCCTCAAGAACCTTTCGCCACATGTGATATATCCACATGCTCCTTAGAGAGCCTGTAGTTAGGAGTTTGAATGGGAGCCAGACTGCCAGGCTGAAATGCAGCTCCTCCATTTGCTAGGTGTGAGACTGTCAATAAGTCTGGCCTCAGTTTCCTCATCCATAGCATATTGTGATCCTATCCGCAGTGCCTCTGTTACTGGTTTGCATGAGTACTAAGTGAGCCAGTTACAGTCAAGGGCTTAGAAAAAGCCTTGACTCACACCTCATCAACAAGAGTACCTGCATAATGAACATTTGTATACCTAACCCTGAATTGTACCTGACATCTTTAAAATTAAAAAAAAAAAGGAAAAAAGAAAAAGCCTTGACTTTGTAAATTCCCAATAGATCCAGGTTGCTATGTTTTTTTATGCATAATCTGTAATAACAGCAATAGCTTATTGTATGTATTGTTTCATGTACTTAATACACCTGCCCCTTTTGACCTCAGAACCCTGAATGCTTCCTGGTACCGTACAACCCACATTTGGGATTTGCACACCATTTCCTCCAACCATGTACAAACACAAGCTCTAGTGAATGGACACATACTTTTCCATTTCAGGCACCGGTGACATTTGGGGACTTGGCCATCTACTTCTCGCAGGAAGAGTGGGAATGGCTGAGCCCCATTCAGAAGGATTTGTACAAAGATGTCATGTTGGAGAACTACGAGAACCTGGTCTCGCTTGGTAAGGCTCTCCTTCCTCCATGATCCAGAACTGCCTGTTGTGTGGCATATGTCAGCCAGGATCTAGTCAAGAGAATGGAAACCACTCCACCTTGTTTGTTGTTTTTAACAGCTTTATTGAGATATAATTCACATACTGCACAGCTCACCTGTATAAAATGTCTGGTTTTTAGTGCAACCACAGTTATGCATCCATCACCACATCAATTTTAGAGCGTTTCATTACTGCCCCCACAAAACCCAGTACCTATTAGCCGTCACTCTTCATCCTTCCCCCCACGCCCCAGATTAGGCAGCCATTAGTCTACTTTCTAGCTGTATGGATTTGCCTATTCTGGGCTTTTTATACAAATGACATAAATATGTGACTTCTTTCACATAATGTTTTCGTGGTTCATCACGTAGCATGTGCCAATACTTCTTTCCTTTTCATTGCCAAATAATATGTCATTTTATGAATAGACATTTTGTTTATTCATTTAGCATAAGTTACTTGATGGGCATTTGAGTTGTTTCCACTCTCTGGCTGTTACCAATATGTGTCTATGAATGTTCGTGTACAAGTTTTTGTGGGGACATTTTTTTTTTAAAGAGTTTGGGTTATTTCTATATTTTGGTCCTCAAGCTCTGAGATTCTTTCTTCTGCTTGGGTAATATATATATATATTTTTATTTCTCTTGGGTACGTACCGAGGAGTAGAATTGGTGGGTCACAGGAAAGTCTCTATGTAACTGTTTAGGAACTCTAGTAGTTTTGAGAGTATTTAAGACATTGATGTAAGAGGTGCTTATAAAAGGCAAGTCGTGGACACTGATGTGATGTAGAGATGGCAACTGCAGGATGTTGCCACCATCCCTGGGGCTGGGGAGGTAAAGGGAGGCCTTAGAGGAAGGCCCCCTCAGAGGCAGGACTCAGATTTCTGAAGGATGAGTGGTGTGTGCCGCTTTGTTTGTTAATATTTCTGAGGGGGCTAGATGAGGCTAGTTTTTTATTTCAAGGGAAAAAACACACACAGAAGCTCAAACCACCATAGCTCCTGTTAGTGGACATTGACAGGAAGCAGCTAATGAAGGGGAAGTGTGGATTGCAGAGCTCCACTCTGGCACCACAAAAAAGATCATAGAAAGGAAATTTGGAGCTGAAAGACTGTAGCTTAATAACCAGCTGCAGGAGTTTCTGGCCCAATTTTCAGGAACATAACTGGCTTTGTAGAGTTAATATTTGACAACTCTACTGGCTACAACTTAGATTCATCTTTCTTATGTGAGATTTTTAAAACCAAACTGTTTTTTCTGCTCTCACACTCACCACTCAACACAGCATACTCTGATACCGTGAGGGAATTTCCTGCACATACCAAGCAGGTCTCCAGTGGACACCAAGGGAACTAACCAGAGATTAGAGAGTTGGAACTTTCAACCCCACATTCTGATCTCCAGGGAGAGGAGAGAGGCTGGAGGTTGAGTTGATTACCAATGGCCAGTGGTTTAATCAGTCACGCCTACGAATGAAACCTCCCTGAATACCCAAAAGGACTGGATTGGGAGCGGTCCTGTAATTCAATTCAATTCTGAGACTGTCTACCTGGAGACAGTGTCAGATCCTACAGGTTGAAGGCTCAGTCCTACAAGACTTCCCATCACTTCAGATACCAGTTACAAGTCTAGGCCTCTGGAACTTCTGAGTGTCTGACTGTAGATTGGATTTCCTGTGAAAAAAACCCTCTTAGATTTAGTCATTTGCTAGAGCAGCTCACAGAATTAAGGGAAGCACTTTACTTAACGTTTACTGGTTTAGTATAAAGGAGATTACAAAGAATACAGATGAACAGCCAGATGAAAGAGGTGTCCGAGGGGAGATATTGGGGAGGGGTGTGGAGCATTCATGCCCTCCACTTGCTCTGTAACTCTGAAAATCTCCCAGTCCAGTAATTTTGAGTTTTTTAATGAATTTTTATTCATAGGCATGATTGATTAAACTATTGGCCATTGGTGATCGACTCACTCTCTGCCTGGCCCCTGTCCCCTCCCTGGAAGTCAGGATGTGGCACTGAAAATTCCAATTATTTATATACGTGTGTGTGTGTGTGTGTGTGTTTCTGGGTTGGAGCTTCACTCTGTCACCCAGGTAGTTGACACTACAGGTGTGTGCCACAAAGCCCGGCTAATTTTTTTTATTTTTTATTTTTAGAGATAAGGTCTCACTGTGTTGCCTAGGCTGGTCTCAATCTCCTAGGCTCAAACAATTCTCCTGCCTCCCCCTCTCAAAGTGCTGGAATTACAGGTGTGAGCCACTACTCTGGCCTCCAACTCTTTAATTACATGGTTAGTTTCCCTAGCAACCAGCCCCATCCTGAGGCTGTCCAGGAGCCCCTAGCTACTAGTCATCTCGTTGGGATAGAAAAGACACTTATCACTTTGGAAATTCCAAGTGTTTTAGGAGACATGGCCAGAGCACAGAGATGAAGACCAAATATGCATTCCTTTTTATAATGTAGTTCTTATAAAGTTATGAGGTATAAGGAGGATATACTACATAAGTAGGCTGCATGTGGGTGAAGTTTGGGCTTCTAGGTGGCCCCCACTCCCCCTGGTAATGAATCAGGTATCCTTTGTTTTGTCACATGCCCCCTAACCTCTCCTCCCTCCCTCCTCTAGCAGTGCCCAGCGACTGCCAATCCCAACCTTGTGATCAGGGCCCACTTATGAGTAGCAAAAACGTGGAACCAACCCTGCTGCCCATCGAAATGAACAGGATAAAGAAAATGTGGTACATATATACAGTGGAGTATTGTGCAGCCATAAAGAAGAACAAAATCATGGCCTTCACAGCTACTTGGATGCAGCTGGAGACCATCATACTAAGTGAACCAACACAGAAACAAATATGCATTTCTTATAAATCACAACATCATGCTCCCATTCTCCAGCTGCCCTTCACATTCTGTGTGCTCCCTTCATGCTAACAAATTATCATTCCTGTTGACAGAGGGTGTGGCTCTGGCTTCTGTGGTGTCAGTTCCCTCATTTGTCCCATGCACAGGTCTTTCCTCCCGGAAGCCAAATGCAATCACCTTGCTGGAGAAAGGGAAAGTGCCATGGATGGTGGAGCCAGCAAGAAGACGTCGGGGCCCTGGTGAGTGACAGAGAACCAGCATGAATGTCTTAGTCTGTTAGGGCAGCCTTAAGACAATACCCAGCCACCAGCTGGCTCAGCTCTGCCCACACTGCTCAGGTTGCAGCATGGATGTCAGCTTGGTTTTGTCCAACCCTTGTGCCTGGTCTGTAGGTTTGTGCTGGCCGGAGAGGTCTGGGGAAGCGATACCCAGAGCATATCGATTATCCAAGAGCCTTTGTCACTCAGCCTATTTCAGCAAGCCTTGATAGAAGCCTTCGTTCTGTGCCAGGCCCTGAGCTAGGAGCCTACAGAGCAGAGGGGAACCAGCCAGAAGCAGGTCTTTATAATTCATTTGGAAAGCTTTTACTGAGCACCACTTGATATCCTGTGCTCACCAAAGGTATAGTGCTGAACCAGACAGATGCAGTCTCTGCCATCATGGAGTGTACAGTCTGCCGGAGGGAGACAGACTAAGTAAATGAACAGGAGGAACACCAGGAAATGAAATCTTCAGTATAACCCGCAAAGTCACTTGAATGCCTGATCCACAGAAATTGTGAAATAATAAATGATATGGTTTAAAGCTCCTAAAACAAAAAACACACCAAAACAACAATACCATATGCCAGGTGGTGTGTAAACAACAGAAATTTATTTCTCACAGTTCTAGCTGCTAAAAGTCCAAGATCAAGGCACCAGCAGATTAAGTATCCCAGTTAGGGCCCACTTCCTGGCTTATACATAGCACCTTCTTACTGTGTCCTGACATTGGAGGAAGGAGTGAGGGAGCTCTCTGGGGTCTCTTGTATAAGGGCACTAATCCTGTACATGAGGGCTCTCCTAGCCAAATCAGCCCCCAAAGGCCCCACTTCCAAATACTGTTGGTGAAAGATGCAAACTTTGTAAGATATTTCAGAATGTTTATTCTGAGCCAATGTGAGTCACCTAGGCTGTGGCACCATCCCAAGAGGTCCTAAGGACATGGACCCAAGGTTTCAATTATAACTTGGTTATATACGTTTTAGGAAGACAGACGTTTAAAAACCCACAAATCAATGCCTGTGAGATTAACAATGGTTTAACCTGGGAAGGCAGGCCATCTCTAAGCAGTGGCTTGCGGGTCATTAATGGATTCAAAGATTTTTAAGGAGTTTTGAAATCAGTAAAGGAAGTGCTGCAGTAAGGGGCATTGAGACAAGGGTTGGTATAAATTTTTTGATATGTAGATGAGTCTCATAAGTGGTAGCCCTGAGAGAGAATAGACAGGAAATGTGTAGCTCCTCTATGGATCCCTGGGAAGGATATTCTATACAGATGCAAATTTCCCCAAGACATTGCTTTTTAGGGTCAAAAAGTATTTTTTATTTCCTTCTTTATTTGTTATGTAATGTTATGCCAGAGTCAGGTTGGAAAGTAACCCACATTATATCGAGTTAACAAAATTCCATCTGATGAGACTTTGTAGGGCATGACTCCCAAGGCCTATTAGTTGGGAATTTGGCAAGATAGAAGAAAAAAAAGTCAGAATTTAGTCCCAAATACCATTACCTTGGGGCTTAAAATTCTGGGGAGGACACAGACATTCAGCCTATTGCAGTGTAGAATTAAGCATTTCAAAATAAGAGCCCCCATGTTTGTGAGGGGGTGACCTCTTTAAGATTTTATTTGAGAGCCAATACTCCCTCTCAAAGGCCCCATGCCTGTGTAGAGAATTCAGGTCTCTTAAGTATGAGGCCTGGAGACAGAATAAGCAACATTTAATAAGCTGTTACCAGGTGTCAGGTACTCTTCTATGTACAGGCTCCTGCCAGCAACCTTACAGGTGGGTGCTATTATCACCCCTGTTTTACAGAGAAGCACATTGAAGCCCAGAGAGGTTCAATGACTTACTCAAGGTCAGCCAGCCAGGAAAGGGCAGTAGTACAGAGTTTGAGGTCTCACCTCCACCTGTATTCAAAAGCTTTGTTCTTCGCACCCTCATCCCCACCTGTAATCTCCATGCATCTGTTTTGTATTTCAGTGTATGCTGACCCCTCTGCTGACAATCATGATAATGTTCAAAATTTCAACATTTTTATCATTCTTTACAAAATATTTTAAAGATCTTGTTGTAATTGTCCTTTTTAGCTACTTTTCAAGGACTCATTTCCCTTACAAATACTGAAGGTACCAAAAAAATATATACGCATTTTAACTATGACTCTCGCTCAAAAGATGGTATTAATCAAATGAATGCTAGCATCACCGTGCGACAGGCAGGATGGTCAAAGAAGATGATGGAAGCATGGTTGAGCTAACATCATAGTATACATTGCTAAAGTAATTCAATTCAACTTCAAAAAGTAATACATAGATAACATCTCTTAAAATGTGTACTCATTTTTTTGGCACCCCCAGTAGATCCCTCTTGAGTTATCCAAGTTATATATTCTTTTATATGTTTGTTTCAAGTCACATTCTTTGAGTTTCTGCTTGAACAGGATATGCCATCTAGGGACTAGGGATCAGCAGTCTGGAGTAAGCTGGGAGAAAAGCCTTGCTAGTTACCAACTCAGGCAACCAGCTTCAGTTACTTCCATGTTCTTAGGGTGCAAATGAAGAGACCCATCTTCATTTCAGCATGAGAGAAGAAATGTTCTTCATTCACTGTTTTTAAGATACAGAAAAAATTTAGAAAAAGGGAAATTCAAGCACAGTGACACATAGTTACCATTGATAACTATACTTATTTCCTGAAATTGGTCTTCATGATTATAATCATAAGCAGCATATATTTCTGCTTTTTTTCACATTTTGTTTTAGTAGAAATGTTATACAGTAGTAGTATCATGTCTCGTTTTCCACGTAGATTCTTATTTATTTTAACAGTCTATCCATCCAAGTGGTTTTGCCTTTTTTCTGTAGTATCAAGTTATAGACGTGGGATTGCTGTACCAAAGGACAGGACCATTTTTCAGACTCTAGATGCTTTTTAATTGCTTTTCAGAAGAAGTTTCAAATTGCCAGCCCCCAGTAAAAAGCCTGCTCACTGAGTCTTGCTTGTAGACATTTTACACAGTTGTGAAATTTCACAGATTTTATGCATACTGTCACAATTTGTTGCTGGAGCAATGGCACACAGCTTGTGTGACTATATGAAGACACAGCTCCTGAAACTTGCACCTGTTTTCCTATGAACTTTGCCCCATTAACCTTTTACCTTTGGTGATGTTGCTTTGTGTTCTTTTGCTGTAATAAATCACAGCCATGAGTACAACTTAAGCAGGAGATTATCAAAGCAGCACCATTAACAGCAGTGGGGTATAGTGTCAGTTTGAATATCACACTGGTATTGAATATTATCATTAAAACTTTTCTCTTAATTTAGTAAAATACATTAATAGCAGTCAGCATTTATTGAGAACGTATTATGTGCAGGTTCTGTGCTAAGGCCTGTAAGTTCATTATCTCATTTAATTCTCGCAGCACTTGTAGGAACTTCTATCATTCCCAAATGACAGATGAGGGTTTGCATTAAAGTTAAATAAATTGCCCAGGATATCCTTTCCAGGAGCTGCTAGAGCAAACTTTGGAGCCCTGGCAGTTTGCCTCTTGAGCCTATATAGATGCACTGAATAGCCAACTGGACTGCACATACTGGATAGTCCATATAATCTTTCTTGTATGTTTGTTTGCATTTGTTTGTTTTCTATTTTTACTTGTTCTCCTGTAAATTGTCTCCTCATAATCCTTCCCCTTCTTTCTATCAGTGATTTGATTTTTTTCAGTTTGTACAATAAGCTTTCATATAGAAAGATATTAAGCATTTGACATCATATTATACTTCACATATTTCCACATTCCTGTCCTAAGACTTTTTATATTACTTACCTTTTGTTTTTTTTATTTGGTTATATGAGAGTTGTTTTTTTTTTTTTCATTTTCATGTGGTTGATGGTATCGGCATCCTGACATTGTAATTTCTCCCATTATTTTCATAGTTGGATGATAATCTGCTTTCTAGAATTTTGCATATATTCCATATACTTTAGTTATTTTTAATGGTTTTGTATTTTAATATTGAACTGGTTCACCTGGGGTTAACTTTGGTCTATGCTGTGGTTTAAGGCAGGGCTCCCCAACTCCAGGGCAGTGGACGGGTACGGGTCCATGGCCTGTTAGGAACAGGCTGCACAGTAGGAGGTGCAGCTATAGCCTCTGTCCAATCAGCGACAGCATTAGATTCTCAAAGGCGCATGAACCCTGTTGTTAGTTGCACATGTGAGGGATCTGGGTTGCACGTTCCTTATGAGAATCTAATACTTTATCTCCACTCCCCCTCCCCTGGTCAGTGGAAGGATTATCTTCCATGAAACCACTTCCTGATGCCATTTTGGTATCAGGTTGGGGACCAATGATTTAAGGGACTTCCACCTGGAAGATAGGGACAGAGATATGTTGGTATTCCATGCAATAAAGAGTGAGGTCCTGAAAAAAGGAATGTGCAAAGAAAAAGGAAAGAAGACAGGCATTAGAGGAATATGCAGGCAGGAGAAGCAGCAGAATTGATGTGAATTATGGGATATGGGGTGGGAAGGATTCTAGGACAAATCCTGGGTTTATTTTTTGGCTGATGCCACTAGCTTCACTGTGAAAATTTTAGTTATCTTCTTTTTTTTTAATTCCCTGTTTAGCCAGGTTGTTTTGTGGTGCTTCTACTACTAATAAATATACTGGTAGCTACTACTAGATAATAAAGAACTGCAGGTCCGCACAGTTTTCTCTAGAACCCTTGGAGCAAGATATGTTTCACAATTCAGAATTGTTCAGATCTTAGATAAAGCAGGTCATATATTGCGTATTGCATAACACACTCAGCAGGAGCTGGAGCAGCACTCCACAATCAGATCATTCATACAAGTACAACTATATATGACTCGTCTTCCTAAGGGCAATAAATGAAGGCTGTGAATAGCCTCTCAGAGGGGTTTTGCTACAAATGTCCAAACATCCAAAAACCAATAAGGAAAGAAAACTTTGGTTCTCAGTTTTTTGAAACTGGAATGACAGATGGGAGGTTATAGTATGTGCCAGGATTTTGTGCCTGTTATTTCCAATTCTCACAAGAACTCTCTGAGGTAGATGATTGTATATACATTTTAAAGATATGACACTGATGGTAATAGAGATACAGAGAGTGTCAAAGGTGATGTAGTTAAATGACAAACACTTCAGTAAATTCAGTAAAGTCTGCCTTTACAGCCCAGCTAGCCAATAGAAATATAACATGGCCTACATAAGTAATTTTTTTAAAAATTTTTTTAGTCAAAGTCTCACTCTCTTGCCCAGGCTAGAGTGCAGTGGCACAATCACAGCTACCACAGCCTGATCTGTAATTCTTCCACTTCAGATTTCCAAGTAGTTGCAATTACAGGAGCATATCACCATGCCCGGCTATCTTTTTGACTTATTGTAGAGCTGAGGTCTTGCCAAGTTGCCCAAACTGATCTAGAACCCCTGGGCTCAGGCAATCCTCTTACCTCCCAAAGTGCTGGGATTACAAGTGTGAGCCACCATGCCTGGCCTGTAATTAAAATTTTTCTAGTATCCACATTAAAATAAATTCTTATAAACAGGTCCAATTGATTTTAATATACTTAACCTAATGTATCCAACATACTACAATATATCAATATTTTTACAATTAGCTATTTTGTGCTTTTTTGGTAGTAAGCCTTCAAAATCTGGTGTGTATTTTATACTTACAACACACCTCAAATCAGACCAGCCATATTTATAGTGCTCAGGAGCTACCTGTGACTAGTGGCTACTATATTGGACAATGCAGTCCCAAAGTCTGTATTGCTATTGTGCCTCATTCGCTCAGGTTTATAATCAATCTGCCACACAAGGAGTTATTTTAAATCATCTTGGAGTTTTGTGCCCTACTGTAGTTGGCCTATCTTACTAAATAATAGAATCTTTTTTTTTTTTGCCTAATCTGTTACCTTTTTTTTTTTTTTTTTTACTTTTTCCTATTTCTTCTAAGTTTAAAGTCTCCAACTTTTTAAGCATCTAAATATGGTCATGTGCCCCATAATGATATTCAATCAACAACAGACCACTTATATGACAGTGTCCCATAAGAATATAATGCCATATTTTTAGTGTACCTTTTCTATGTTTAGACATATTTAGATACACAAATACCATTATGTTATAGTTGCCTACAGTTTTCAGGACAGTTCTATGATGTACAGGCCTGTAGCCTAGGAGCAGTAGTCTACACTTTACAGCTGAGGTATGTAGTAGGGCTACACCATGTAGGTTTGTGTATGTACACTCTGTGATGTTCCCCCCAACAACAAATGCATTTCTTAAGCTGTATTATCATCATTAAGTAACACATGACTATACTCAATTCTAGCTGCTGCTAGAATTTTTTAACATTTGATTTTAAGACTATATTTTTTAAATCTACAACTTCATTGAGGCACAATTTATGTATCATAAAATTTACTCATATCTAGAACATAATTCAGTTATTTTTTATAAAATTACAAAGTATGTAACCATCACCATAATCCAGTTTTAGAACATTTTCATCATTCCTGTAAGATCCCTCATACCTATTTATAAGTAATCCCCATTCTCACCTTGAGCCCTAGCCAACCACTAACCTTCTGTCTCTATAGATTTGTCTTTTCTGGACACTTCACATAATAAAAAATACATTGATCTAATGAGCAGCCTATGGAGTTTAATATACAGTATATAAGGTTTATCGTATAAATGAAATCTTAACTTAGTCAATTTCAAATTAGAAACTCTTCTGAGTTCCAGTTATAAATTTTATCTCTGTAAAGCCTTTAATATTGTAATTGAAACCATAATAAGCCAGGCTCGGTGGCTCAGCCTATAATCCCGTGCCTTTGGGAGGCTGAGGTGAGTGGATTGCCTGAGCCCGTGGGTTCGGGACCTGCCTGGGCAGCGAGACCTCCTCTCTACAATAAAAAAAAAAAAATCCGCCGGGCGTGGTAGCACATGCCTGTAATTCCGGCTACTTGGAAGGCTGAGGGAGAAGAATCGCCGGAGCCGAGCAGATCGAGGCTGCAGTGGCCGGGAGCGGCCACTGCACTCCAGTCTGGGCGACAGAGTGAAACTCCAACTCAAAAAAAAAGAAAGAAACCATAATAAGACACTAAAAAGTTATTGTTCTGATTACCTTGGTTGTTGTTACTGTGATTCATAATGATAATGACTACATTGGTATTGTAGAAGCTTTGTTTTTCCAGCATAGGAAAGCAGAAACATATAATTTCTTGATGTCTTTCAGACCCAAGGGTCAAGCATGACACCAAGAAGTTACCTCCAAATCAATGCAACAAATCTGGCCAAAGCATCTGTCAGAAACCAGTTTCTGCACAGCAAAAAGTTCCCCCAGGAAAGAGGGGCTGCCACAAAAATTCAGTCCTAATAAAACCCAAGAAAGGAGATTCAGGGAAGAAATCTTTTAAATGTAATGACTGTGGGAAAACCTTTAGTCGAAGCCTCACTCTTAAACTTCATCGGAACACTCATATCAGAGAGAAGCCTTTTCAATGCAGTACTTGTAAACTAGCTTTCAGACAGATCTCATCCCTTATTCTTCATCAGAGAATTCACAATGGAAAGAAAAGCCATGAATGTGATAAATGTGGAGAAAGCTTCAATAAAAGAACCACCCTTATTCTACATAGGAGAACTCATCATAGAAAGGAAACCTTGTACTGTGTGAAAGCCTTGAGTCAATGCTCGTCTCCTAGTACACAAGAGAAAATCCGCATTATTGAGAATGTCCACCAGTGCAGAAAATGTGGGAAAGACTTCAGTAGGATGTCATCCCTTTTACTTCATAAGAGGATTCACAAGGGAAAGAAAATATATAAATGCAATGTGTGTGGAAAAGGCTTCAAAAAGAAATCAGTTTTTGTTATACATAAAAGAATCCATACTAGAGAGAAAGCCCCTGAAAGTGAGAAAGTCTCAAGTCAGAGGCTACGGCTAAAAAGTCACCATTTAGAGAATCCTTATAAGTGCAAAAAATGTGGGAAATTCTTTCATAGGATTTCATCCCTTATGCTTCATCAGAGATTTCATACTTCAAGCAGACCCTACAAATGTGATAAATGTGGCAAGATTTTCAAGCGACTTTCAGCCCTTAGTCTGCATTTAAGAAGTCACAAGAGAAAGAAACACTATAGTTGTAGTCAGTGTGATATGGTCTGCAGTCAGCGTTCAACTCTTACTCGGCATCAGAAAGTTCATAAAAAGAAAAAGAAACGATTTGAATGTAAGGAATGTGGTAAGATGTTTTGTGGGGTTGAAAACCTTAAAGTACATCAGAATATTCATTCTGAAGAGAAACCTTTCAAATGTAATAAATGCAGCAAAGTTTTCGGCCGCCAGTCATTTCTTATTGAACATCAGAGAATCCATACTGGAGAAAAACCCTATCAGTGTGAGGAATGTGGGAAAGCCTTCAGTCACCGAATATCTCTGACTCGACATAACAGAATTCATACTGAAGATAGACCCTATGAGTGTGATCAGTGTGGGAAGGCCTTTAGCCAGACTGCTCACCTTGCCCAGCATGAAAGAATTCACACTGGAGAGAAGCCATACACATGTAAAGAATGTGGAAAGGCCTTTGGTCAGCGCATAACCCTTATTCTTCATGAAAGAAGTCATACTGGAGAGAAACCCTATGAATGTAATGAGTGTGGGAAGGCATTTTGCAGTGGCTCAGATCTTATCCGACATCAGAGAAGTCATTCTTTAGAGAAACCCTACAAATGCAGTAAATGTGAGAAGGCATATAGTCGGAGCTCATCCCTGATTCGACATCAGAGTACACATTCTGAAGAAAAAGCCTAAGGTTGTTTTAAATCTATAAAAGTGAAGAATGAGGTTATCAAAGAAGCAGAATTAGAGGTATGGGAAAAGTGTACTGGTGTGTAGCATAAATTGTGGATATATATGACAATCTGATGATGTGCCACACTTAGAAAGCCAATGAGCAAAAGTCACTGGTGATTTTTTTTCATCTCAGGATTTGAAATTAACTTAGATGAACTCAGAAGATTGAATTGGTCATGATATTTCAATGGTCACACACAGCAAAGTAGAATTGTGAAGTCCATTTTTGTGGATAGGGCTTTGAGCCTGACTTAAGGTCTCATGAAGAGAGCTTGAATCTGTTCTTCATAACAAGAATTACCAAATATAAGGAACTTCCTGGCAAAACAGGGTGCCTCTTTCAGGTGACCGAAACTTGTGGATGAGAAAAAAGAAGAGGGAGTCATTAGGAAGATAAAGATATCACTTATAATGATGTAAAGCAATAGAGATTTTACCATGTTATCTCCATGGATATGAGGATATATCATCTTCATGGTGTGGACATCTAACATGGCTAAAACAGGCTATCAGGAAAAGAATCAGGATATATTGAAGAATGAGAAACATGAGAGTCAGGATAAATTGCTTTATTTGAAAATAAATTGTCTATATTTATATAAGTAAACATTGGTTTTTTCGTGTAATAATACTGGTGTGCAATATGTGATTGGTGTAATGAGTTGTTATAGACTGAATGTTTATGTACCCCCAAAATGCTTTATGTTGAAGCCCTAACCCCAATGTGATGTTATTTGGAAATAAGGCCTTTGGGAGGCAATTAGGGTTAGATGAGGTCATGAGGGTGAAATCCTTATGATGAGATTAGTGCCTTTATAAGAAGAGACACCAGAGAGCTTGCTCTCTCTCTCTGTACCATATGAAGATGCAGCAAGAAGGCAGCTGTCTGCAAATCAAGAAGAGAGCCCTCACCAGAACCTGACCATGCTTGCACCTTGTTCTTGAACTTTCAGGCTCCAGAACTTTGAGAAGCAAATATGTGTTGGCTAAGCTACTAGATGTGATATTTTGTTATGACAGCCCATACTGGCTGGTACATTTAGGGAGGGGGAATCCTAAATTATATTTGGGGCTCTTCTCTTGCCATATGTAGTAGCTTTCAGTCCCTCTTTCCTGTTTGTGCAATATGTGACAAATAAAATCAGAGTTCTTTTCTTGCAATTAGATCATATACAGTTGAATTCTTCTGTATAAGCTTCCTTCTGCAAAAGCGACTTTTGAGAAAAACTGTATCTTGCTAAGACGACTTTGTGGAATGTGTAACTATATGGGTTAGATTATACTTTGACCACAACTAAGAAAATATCAAAACCATGAGGGGTAGACATGAGGTTTAATATAACTAGCTTCTGATTTAAACTTGTCCTTTCAGATGTAAAGTAAGCATTAAAAAGAATCCATCACTTGGACCAAATGAGTGAGCACACAGCATAGAGATGGCTTCTGAAGAGGCATGCCTTTTTTTTCTTCCCTTCTATACATACCCTGTACATTGTTTATTCCTCCACCAATCTACCATGGAAATTGGTTCCGGATAAATGGTGACACACCAAAAGAGTGGGAAAGAGCAACAGGATACCTTGGCCACAATCACACAATTTTGTCAATCTTATCTCACTGCCTATTGCATTTCTTGCCCTCCTTGGGGATTTCAAGAGTGCATTAGAATGGCAATGCATTGTAAGGTAAAACCTAACATGGATTTGGTTGTGAGAATTGCTTATCCTCACTGCTTTATTTCTGGCCTAGTCAGAAATCCTCTCTTCATCTAGTCTGGCCCATTCTCTCACAATTTTCCTTCATCTCCTTACAGGCATTTGTGATGGTGCCATAAAGGTAAAGTAACTCAGGCTTACATGTGCTCTCAACTAATGAGAATTCAGTTACTTCCTAGTGGACTGAATCCTTTGTTACTTTAATTATTTTGCACTCCATGAGTTTTAAAAATACATCTCAACTAAGAGGAAAACAAAGTTAAAAAAAAAAAATCCTGAAAACCGCTGGGAAAAAATGTTTTGTGTTATCCCTAGACTTACAGGAAAGCCCATTATGAAAATATTTTGCTTTTAAAGGATGCCTATGGATTTCCAGCTTTCCTTTAGCAAACATTTTACCTGCATATTTGTTGTACATACAGCTACTATGAATCAAGTACTGCTAAACCCTGGGTATACATAACTAATAAACTGTTCTTGTCCACACGCACTTACAATTTACCAAAAAACTCAAGATAATAAAATATGAAAACATGTACAGGCCGGGCTCGGCGGCTCAGCCTGTAATCCCAGAATTTGGGAGGCCAAGGTGAGTCTGAGCCTTCAGGTTCGAGACCAGCTTGGGCAACTTGACGAGACCGTGTCTCTACAATAAATCAAAAATTAGCTGGGCATGTAGCACGTGCCTGTAGTTCCGGCTACTTGGAAGACTGAGGCAGAAGGATCACTGGAAGCCAGCAGATAGACACTGGGGTGGCCATGAGTGTGCCATTGCACTCCAGCCTGGGCAACAGAGTAAGACTCCAACTTAAAAAAAAGAAAAAGAAAAGAAAACATGTATAAGATGCACAGTTAGTACAGAGAAGAGGATGAGAACTCCATGATGATGGAGAGTATGGGAACATAGTGCTTTTGGAGATGGTTGATAGTATTAAAGGAAGAACAGGAATTTACTAGGCACACAAAAATTGAAAGACTTTTGAAAGCAAAGAGAATTACAGATGCATAAAATAATGACAGATGGTAGTAAAGTATTGGGGGAAGTTACAGCATTTAGTACAATGACTAACACATAGTTAAGTGATATATCCTCAATAAATATTTGAATGAATGAAAATATTTGAGTCTAGCTGGACTGTCTGGAGGTGTAATCCAGTGGGAATATCTAAAATTGAAGGTTGACCCAGTCATTGAGAATAATACTAATAGTAATCACTATTAGTATCCAAAACCTGTGGTGAACTTAAGATAGTCATAGAAACAACAAACCTTAAACCTAGTCCAATTCCTGGCTATAAAGATGCAAACCCTCATGCATACACACTTTTAAAAGGCTTAATAGAAGGAAATGTATGTCCTTATCAAGATTTACATTCGTTTACCTCCATTTATAATGCCCTATACAAGATATCTGACTTTGAGAAAAAAAGAGCAAGAAAACCAACAAATCCCCACTGCACCAATCCTGCCAAGAAACAAAAGAATTGTCAGAACTAGACTCAAATGTCATAGCTATTCACCTGACAAGAGACTTAAAATAACTAAGTAATATGTTAAAAATTCTAATGAAAAAAGTGCACCAAGCCTAGTGCAGTGGCTCAAGCCTGTAATCCCAGCATTTTAGGAGGTCAAGGTGGGAGAAATGCTTGAGACCAGGAGCTTGAGACCAGCCTGGGCAACATAATGAGACCCTGTTCCTACATAAAGTAAAAGTGCACAACAAGAAAGATTAGATGGGTAACTTGTGCAGAAAGACAAACTGGAAGAAAGAATCAAATGAAAATACTAGAAATGCAAAACAATGTAAGCAGATGAGCAGTGTCTTCAACAGGTTTATCTATATACTTGAAAAAAGCAAGGAAAAAGTACGTGAACTTGAAAATAGGTCAATAAACATTTCTCAAACTGGAATACAAGCGTGGTAAGAATAGGAAAAAAAAAAAAAAGAAACATGGGAAACTGTTGGTCTAATACACACATAATTGGAGTCCCAAAAGCCAGAATACATGGGGCAGAAGAAATATTTGAAGAAATAATGGCTAATGTGTTTCCAAAATGTATGACCCCAGAACATAAATCTATGCAGCTCCGAGAACAACAAAAGAGATCAATACTAAAAGCACACAAGATCAATACTAAAAGCACACAAGTGCGCACGCGCACACACACACACACACACACACACACACACACACACACACACACACCTAGGCATATTATATTCAAACTGCTGAGAGCATAGAAAATCTTGAAAGAAGACAAAGGGAAAAAAAGACCTTACAGACAGAGGAAAAAAGATAAAAATTACAGTAGAATTATCAGAAACATTTCAAGCTAGAGGGCCATGTAATGACATCTTTAAAGTGCTGAAATAAAAAAGCCTGTCTTCCAGAACTCTCCCCAAATCATTTTATAAAGCTAACATCACACTGATACCCAAACTGGGCAAAGACTCAACAAAGAGAAAGACTATAGGCCAATATCCCTGATGAACATAGATGCAAAAATTCTCAAGATTCCAGCAAATTGGATCCAACAACACAGATTAAGAACTGTCACCATGACCAAGTAGATTTCATCCCTGAAGGCTGAAAAAAAAGGGGCCAGTTCAACATCCACAAGACCATGAATGTAATTAAATACATCAATAGATTTAAAAACATGAACCATGTGATTATATCATTAGATGCAGAAAAGGCTTTTGATAAAATCCAGCATCCATTCTTAAAAACCAACAACAACAAAACCTTGAACACTTAGGACTATACCTCAAAATAGTAATAGCCATCTACGACAAACGCACAGCCAACATATTGCTAAATGGACAGAAATTGGAAGCATTTTCCCTGAAAACCAGAACAAGATGAGGCTGCCCACACTCACCCCTCCTGTTCAACATAATGCTGAGAGTTGTAGATAGAGCAGTCAGACAAGAGAAGGAAATCAGGGGTATCCAGATAGGAAAAAAGGAAGTTAAGCTATCCCTCTTTGCTGATGATATGATTCTATACCTAGAAAACCCAAGGGAATCTGTCAAAAACCTTCTTGCACTAATAAAGGACTTTGGCAAAGTCTCAGGGTACAAAAATCAACATGCAAAAGACAGTTTCATTTTTATACATCAACAACAGAGAACCAAATAAAAAGTATAATCCCATTCACAATAGACACACACAATCCCATTCACAACAGACACACACACACACACACACACACAAACACACACAGCTCGGCATCTTCCTAACCAGAGAAGTGAAGACCTTTACTACAAATGAAAACTACAAAACACTGCTCAAAGAAATCAAAGAAGATAAATGGAAAATATTCCATGCTCATGGATTGGGAGAATCAATATTGTTAAGATGTCCATCCTACCCAAGGCAATCTACAGATTCAATGCAATACCCATTAAATTACCATCATCATTCTTCTCAGACCTGGAAAGAACAATACAGAAGTTAATATGGAAACAAAAATGACTGTGAATAGCCAAAACAATCCTTAGCAAAAGAAACAAAGCAGGAGGTATCACTTTCAGATACCTTTAAACTTTATTATAAAGCCACAATAATCAAAACAATCCAGTATTGGTACAAGAATATCCATATAGACCAATGGAACAGGACAGAGAATCCGGAAGCAAAACCTCAATTTCTCAGCTAACTCATCTTTGACAAAGCCTCCACCAACAACCACTGATGAAAAGAGAACCTATTAAATAAATGGTACTGGGACAACTGGCTGACCACATGCAGAATAATAAAACAGGACCCCTACCTATATCACTATATGCAAAAATTAACTATAAATGTATCAAATACCTAAATGTAAAACCTCAAACTATAAAGAATCTTCGAAATTTCAGGAGATACCCTTACAGACATTGGAATAGGCAACCAATTTCTGATCAAAACACCATAAGATATAAGATAGACAAGTGGGACGTCATCAAACTGAAAAGCTTCTGCAAGGCAAAAGAAACCATCAAGAGAGGGTAGCAACCCACAGAATGAGAGAAAATATTT